CATGAAAGCTTTCCCTGCCTCCCGCTTGCTGATCTACGATTCTTCAATCGCCGTCACCGGCTGCGAGGGATAGTCGGCATTTCGTCGCACGGCAATAGTACCTACATCGGTTGCAACCCTGTGTTTTCTGGGAAAGGACTCACGGGTCAGCACCGAATAGGGTCGGTGTGCTGCCACTGTTGCAGTCAGACGACGTGATCTCGCGACTATCATCATGAAGGCCTTCAGAGAGTCCAGTGCACTCCTGAGACGTAGTCATCAATTTCGCGTGGTACTTCACGAGTGTTCGGACATGGCACGTAGGCGGGGAAATCACGTATTCTCTTCTGACGCAATTGACAACAATAGTAAGTTTTACCGGCTTCACCACTGTGCTAGCAGAACAAATGGCTGACAGGAGCTACCAGGGGAACGCGAACACTCAGCCTTCAAGGGCTCTGTGCTGGCTAACAGATAAGTGGTCCGGCCTCATTAGCGGTGGTAGTGCCGTTGGTCGGTGTCGGCTTAGAAGAGGAGCGTGAAGGCGGACTGAAATAGCATATACTGTAACGGGTGGCTATGCCTACACCTGCTTAGTAGACAGAATTGTGCTAGATCTCCTAGCACATGACACCAGCTACTAAACTTATTTGAGGTGGTGAAAAGGCAGACATTTTTGCTCGCCCACTTGCATGATCACTCGTTCCATGCATTATCACTAATATTACCAATAAATAATAATTGCGCCCACGCTTTGTTTTCTGTTTCATGTGACCGCCCCATTGCAACATAGCTGCTGCTTTGCGCAGAGTACGCACACATGACTTGGCACTCTCTGAAAAGCTTTAGAACCTCCCAGCAAGATTACGTGCTCGATGCGAACATTAGCGCTATTCTTGGAACTTACGCGACCAGCTGCGATAACGCTGGAAACATGAATTACACGCGTATGAAAGCCGTCACACTTGACCGCTTGTCAGTTTAACCACGGTTGATCACGGTCGACACTTAGTTCTCCACTGTCGATATATATCGAGAAATAAACTCAACGGAGGACCGTGTAGCTTTAAATAGTGCTTGACAAGATGTTTCCTGCTGGTGCCGTAAATGGCAGATGTCACTTAATGCAAACAAGTGTACAATTTTATCTGTAAGTCGAAAAAAAACTAGGTCAAATTTTCTTTACACCATTAATGACATTCCCATAACTAGAGTAAGTCAGCATAAATATCTTGGAATTATTATAACTGAAGATCTAAGATGGGATGCACACATAAGTTACGTTACTTCAGCTGCACTACGCCGCTTGTTTACACTCAGATACCGGCTTCGCCAGGCCCCGCCTTCACTAAAACTGCTTGCATACACTTCCCTTGTGCGATCATTACTTGAATACGGTAATATTATTTGGTCACCATTCACAAAACAGCAAATCACGAAACTGGAAGGAATACAAAGGAAAGCTATGAGGTTCATTTACAACAAGTACAGACATACAGATTCTCCGACTAAACTAATGAAAAAAGCTGGATTACTTACTCTAATGAATAGAACAAGGTTAGCACGTGCAAAATTCATACATGAATTATTACATGGTCATTTAAACATTGATGTATCCGCCTATCTTACGTTTGATCAAACTAGAACAACACGCCAAAAACACCCAATGAGACTTAACGAATACTCCTTCAACACAAACTGCTTTAAGTACTCATTCTTTCCGTTAGCCACTAATGAATGGAATAAACTGGATCCGAGTATCTCCAGCACTACCGAATTAGCAAAATTTCTAACCCTTGTCGAAAATGAACTTTGTATTATGAAAACGGAATCACCTGGTTGATTTTAATATGTGTGTTCATGTGAACATTGTACGAGCGAAGTATCATGTCATCATATTTTTTCTTTAAGCAATTTTTAGTACTGAATCCACGTGAAGAGAAATCGCTCTGTTGATTCTTGAACATGTTTCTGTTTTTCAGTGTGTATAAATTTGCCCTTCCTTGAAATACTTCGCCATATTGTAGGGTAGTTTCTTATTGCTGTAATTTCTTGTTGTGTTTCTTGATGCATATGCCAATATGTCAACCAATGTGTCAACCAAGTCGCTGCATTTATTTTCTTCTGACAACTTTTCTTTACACTAATGTTTTATGCCTTCTTTTATCTGAAATTGTTAAATGATCCGATTCTCTTAGTTTCATTTTGTACTTTATCGCGATGTATGTCTTTATTGTGTACCTATTCGAATTTTTATGTTCACGCCCTTCCTGCTAAAATCCCTGATGGGATTGGCAGTATGTCGAAATAAAATAAAAATAAATAAATACAGTGTATATTGCCCTAAAACCTTGAAGTTCCAGGCCACAAGTTGGACCAAATGAAGAGTGTCTTCAAGGACACGCTGTGTGTGTCCATGTCTTGACCGCGTGACATGTGAAGGAGGTGGTGCTCCCTTCATGTTCTGGACACTAACGAGAAGCCGGGAGCGAAGCCCACAACATGAAGACATTGTTACGTTTGGTTCGGCAGTTCATCTGGGCAGACGCCATTTTGCGTAAGCTGGTCTGCTATGTTGCTTTGAACACCATCCTAACCCCTGATTGTTCCCTCACCCACTCTGCTCTCTTCTTGTCACTTAAAGTTACACCTACCATTTTTCTTTCAATGGCTTGCTGTGTCGTACTAAATTTAAGCTTAACTCTCTTTGTCAGTGTATCTTCAAGCGTATTCATGAGCGTAACTTCAAGCGTATCCTCTTCTATTTGCTCGCACCTCCGTAAAAGCCTTTGTTGATAGCGAGCAACAACATTTTTGGCGGCGACATCTCTACCGTATAACTTGCGGCCATACCATTCAGCGTGCTCACAAGTGTTTCACAACGTCTTGCGAGCCAAAATGGCTTAGAAGAGAACATTAAAGAGCACGCGGACTGGCATAGCCGCAAGTTACACTGTAGATATGCCACCACCAAAAGTATTGTCACTCGCTAGCAAAAAGGGCTTTTACGGAGGTGTCGCAGTAGCTTCCTACTGCACTGTATTCGAATAAGTTTACTCCCGCGTGACGACCTTGGTGGACCACCTGTCAGACTCTAACAAAACACTACACTGAGGTAAAGCGTCTATCTCTACGTATTTGGTGGAAGCTCAAGACGCTCGGTATATAGTCTTTGTATCTTACCGCATATAGCACAGGAAGTATCGTGCAACAATGTGCGCTTCAGAAAGAAAAAGTAAATCGTGAGGTTTTGCCCCAAAACAGTGGACATCTCAACAACAGGCAGCTCTTCAAAGTAATTTTGTCGTTCATTAATCAGTTATTTTCACATCGCCCATTTCAAATGATGTAACACTTTCCTCACAATAGTGGAATGTGATAGACTGCTTTCTTTTGACACAGGCAACCTTTCCCGGTATTTAAATTCGCACACATTACATCTTATCTTGCCACCTTGAAATTTTTTACTGCTGCTGCGCACAGGCGCCTAGCAGGTTGTTAGTGGAAAGTACTGCATATCCCTGTAGGATGCGCAAAGTTGAAGGCGTCTGTTCATACTTCTGAAGATAGAGCGCGAGTGACCGTGTGCAGCTACTGGAGTCATGCAGCTAACTTCCAATGAAGGTTTCATGAGAAAGAAAGTTTTCTCTCTGCTTGAGCTGCGCTTGCAGCAGCTTTTGTGGGTTTTCACTGGCACATTGAATGCAACATGCTACGGACATTGCTATCGCCATTGAATTTGAACGAAACTTGTGATACATGACCCCACACGGAAAGTTAAACGGCAAAATTGTGCCTGCAGTCTTGTTCATTGTTATCGCAACGAAATGCATAAATAGTTATATCAAATAGTTATTGCTTTCTATTTGTGCAAATTAATAATGAAAACTTTTTCGCAATATTTATGACAAACATCGCAATAGTATGACAAAATAATATAGCACAGCGTTCAGGGTTAACAGCATCTATTAAAGTGCGAAAGAAGATTTCTCCGAGGCGTAGCGTCTTTGTTAGATGTAACTTATACAATCAACTTTGAGGAATGCGTAATGGACATCCATCAGTTTTCAGTTAAAGCTTTTCTAACTTTGGCCTCAAGATAAATCAATCAAAATGGGCGAGTTTTCACCCTTTTTGTTGGAGGGATATAAACCAGCAATCATTCAGCTACATGTCTGGTGCTTCAGGAATCAGGCCACAAGAGGACACCCGCTTGCCTACTTTGTACGGTATTTATGCATTCTTGTTACTTGGTAGTGTTAACCTGTGCCACTCTTTAGATGCAACTAATCAACAATGGCACTGAAGGAAATGTTGATTTTTCCGCCACTTATCTTTTTTTAAACTTAGGTCGAAATGATTTCTCTGTGGTTGAAAACACAATGTCACCGATGCTCTCCTTAGTTTAAAGATCTCTTAGCTTTATTAGCAGCACTATGAAAGTAACGAATCCCAGAAACAATTGCCCCTCTTTCTTACCTTCACGTGGAGGCTTAATCTCGGAATATTTGAAGCATTTATTTTCCGTAACATAAATAATTAGTCTGCTAGTATATAATGTAAAAATACCATGCCACGTGACACCCTCTGGGAAAATAGTGTTCCACACTCGCCATCCAGGCTACGATGGCGCTGGCGAAAAATCATACCAATCAAGAATACATATATACATTGAAATGAAGACGACAGAGTGCCCACCGCAGTAGCGCATGTCACAGAGTGTCGTACAAAAAGTTCGACGTTTGTGGGTCCTGATTCCATCAACGTATCAACAATTTTCTGTCCACTTTTATTGATTACGTTAAAATTATTACACCACAGGTAAAGGGCCAACAATGAATGTATTACATGCGTTTATTATCTTAACCGCATTTTCGTTTTGTGAGTTAAAACATCTATTTAACACACCGACTTTTATAAGGAAAACATATCAGCGGCACAAAACCAATGCCGTGAAGTAAGCAAGGATTGTTATATTGCATGGTACAAAAAAGCATCGAACAATTGCATCAGTACGTTACCATCTTTCTTTTTCACATCCATTGTGTCTAATTCAACAGAATACCAGCGGTGCCGGTGATTCACGAAATGTCCCATTAGGTGAAGGGTGTGCCTGTAAAGAATTTACATTGTTAGTATGCGGATCCCAAAGCACTGCTTATAGGACGCTTACTTGGAATGAAAATGCCTTGTAAATTGAACATTCACGCCGTATGCTTTAGTAACTTTATCAACTTTGCATTCGCCTGGTCCCATCGTGGTATATAGTGTCTCTACTCGTGCATCTTGGGAGTAGAACTGGAAGAAAAGTAATGTTTCGTATTTTATTTGTAGTTCATGCGGTTGTGAGAAAGAACATTTGAAAAACAAAACCCAAGCATTTACAACAACATACACACTTGCGATACTACTTTCTAGCACAACTTCGAATCGCGGTAAGAAGCTGTGTGTTCTAAGGCACTCCTCACTGAACATGGGTAGTAATTATTAGAGAATTTTCCAGTCAGGTTGATGATCAGCTTGAATACCGGACCCGCGATCCGCGAGTGCAAGCGTCAACGTTGCATAGATGGTGGCAATGACAAATGCTATTTTCATTTTAAAATACACTATAATTGAAAAAAAGCACCTTCACCCATTGCCTAATATCACATCTGCTCTGCAGTGCGCAGCCACGCTGATTATGCTAAGCGTGTAACACGCATTCTTGACTCTGATTACACGCAGGTCATAAGCTATTTTATCTTCATTTATACATTTCTCTGCAGTTCTTGTGAGTTGTTAACGTTACTTCTTTCTGCTCAGGCACAGCTGCCAAAAGCACCAAGTACAACAAAAAAGTTGCCTATTGTAAACTCCAAACAGTGAATTGCAAACACACAAACAAAAAAACAAAAAATTCAAAGCGTATCCACGGAGTGAATGCTGGTGAAGCATCCATCCATTCGTACGTCCGTCCGTCCATGCATGTGGCCATGCGTCCGTCCATCTATGCGTCTGGCCAGCCATCCGTACAGCCGTTAGTTCGTCTGCATGTCTGTGTGTCTATACGTCTGTCTGTCCGTTCGTCCACCTAGTGAACAGTCCAAGTACCGTCATCTTGTATCTTTTCACTATTTATGCAAGATATACAAGTAACGCCATCCAGTGGGCATATTAAGGACTAAAGGAGAGTTGGCTATTTTCACGACGACGACACGGGACCTAAGACCCATGGCGGAACGAGCTTCGCTAACAAAGTCACAGCATATTGCCAATGTGCACCCCACAAGTAGTAAGAAAGCCACGCCATGGAACGCCGTCCTGCACGCGCCACGATGCTGCGCCACGAGACCAGCACGAGACTCGAGGTGAAGAGGAAGAGGCCGATGAAGTTAGAGACAGCGAGCAAGGGACATTTTGGCTGACCATTTAGTTTTGAGTTTATGGGCACAGGTTCGTTCTAAATAAATAGTTTTTATAGTACCAGGTGCTATATTTATTTGTAACAATGTTCAAGGAGTGAATGACTATCGGGGGAGCGATGTGCCAAAGTGTTTCATCGGTAAACCGTGGATACCTTCACCATCCACTAATATTGTCTAGTACATCAATAAGGGTGCACTTTATATATTTATGCAATAAATTTTTATTCTTCATAACTGATGATGTTTGGTATTTTGTGGTGCAAGTGCCATTTGAATACCAAAGAGCACCACTTCATGAGATTAGAGACGAGGACAATGATTGTGATAAGCGGCTGTATAATGGCATTAGAATTCCTCGCGCTAAGATGGATAAAGACATAGAACTATCAAAATCATGACCATGTCGCGAAATGTATGTAGTGTCAACAAATGGTGAAAGCTTGTGATAATGAAAACCGTTGTGAACATGTATGGCATTAGCACGAATGCCTCGATTGACTGATTTGTGGGGTTTAACGTCCCAAAACCACCATATTTATTTATTTATTTATTTATTTATTTATACATACTGCAGCCCCTATTAGGGCCATTGCAGGAGTGGACATACAAATGATCAGGTGATAACAAGCAGAAACAAAAACTTGAGCATATGGCACAAATTTGTGGTTCATAGTACTACACAAGATACAGAATGAACAGAGCAAGAGCACAGAAAGCAAAAGAACATGGAAATATCTACTTAACACGCATGTGATATTGCACTCAGAAACTGCTCCAACGCTTATGACAGACGTCACAGTGAACGGCTCCGGAAATTTCGACCACCTGGGGTTCTTTACGTGCACCCAAATTGAGTACACGGGCCTACAACATTCCCGCCTCCATCAGAGATGCAGCCGCCACAGCCGGGATTCGGTCCCGCGACCTGAGGGTCAGCAGGCGAGTACCTCAGCCACTAGACCACCATGGTGTGCATAAATGTCTATAAATGGTAAAAGTTTGTTATAATATAAACCATTGTAGACATGTATAGCAGTAGCACGAATGCCTAGATTGATTGATTTGTGGTGTTTAACGTCCCAAAACCACCGCATGATTATGACAGACATCATAGTGAAGGGCTCCAGAAATCTTGATAGCCTGGGGTTCTTTAACGTGCACCCATATTTGAGTACACAGGCCTACAACATTTGCGACTCTATCGTAAATGCAGCCGCCGCAGCCAAGATTTGAACTCGCAAACTGCGGGTCAGCAGCCGAGTACCTTAGCCACTAGACCACCGCGGCGGGGCAGCCGCGAATGCCTCGATCGTCCACACCCTTGCGTCCAAGGGCCGCGAGGCAAGAGCTTTGTTTATTATAGCTACCGCAGCGGAGACCTCTTTGGAGACGTCGTGCGGCCGAATGCTCGGGTATTTGACATGAAGAAATGGACTTCTCTTAAAAAACCAACTACAAATTTTGTGTGAAAAGTGCTTCCGTATCAACGAATATTGCAGGGTGAAATGGTATCTGTTGTATAGGGTAATGTAAATTGTTCTTCACAGCGTGTCTGTTGTTTACCCTAGATTGATTGTTTTTTACCACACAGAATATTTGTTGGTGTTACGAACCACGTGCGCAGAAACACTTAATTCCTTTTTCTTCCACTCACAGCAAATTAGTAAAGCGAGGCATAGCACAGACCTGCTTTGAGAATGCCTTGAAGAGGTCATGCTTTCCTAACATCTCTGCGAGCTCCAAAGCTCAAGTGTCCCAGCCTATGGCTTCGGGTTTTCCTGGGGCGTTTATCGCATCTGTCGCTGAGACTATCCTGCGGACAAATAGAACAAAGCAGTGGCAGGGACAGAATCCGAGGAATACGGATACAGAGCGTGAAAGGATAGCCGTTATTCCGTACAAACATTACATATCACTCAGGCTTAAGAAAATCGGAGAACGTGCGGGAGTTCATATGCTGTTCTTTGCGCCGTTGAAATTATTCAGTCTCACTAAATCTACTAATTCCCTGAAAAGCAGTCATCAAGTGAATGTAGAGTTAAGCATAGGAACGGGTATGCGGGGTGTTCCAAAAAGCTGTCTATAGGACCCCCCTTTCCTGTGGTGCTTGTTATGTCGGAACGACCAGAACGTGCCTGAACGATCGACTGAGAGAATACGCTAACAATGTTATAAACGGGAAATGTGGTTTTCTTGCCCAGCACTGCACTGAGTGCAACTGTGTGCTCCTTTTTAAAAACTCTGTGACGCTGTATAAGCACAGGGATGAGCGCACCCAAGTAATCGTCGAGGCCGCGCAGATGGCACGAGCAGGTGTCATGCAAGAGGTGTCAGCAAGCCCTTCATGTCTCTGTCCGAGAAGGAACTAAGGTTCCTGGAAAATTTCGGTGCGTGCAACTAGTTATAGTACTTTTACTTTGACTTTTGCTTTTCTGTTTATTTTCCTTATAAATGTTTCTTTGCCTTTGCTTTTGTTATTTTCCTTACTCATGCATTGTTCTTTGTGTCACATGGTCTAATAAAAGGATTCTAAACCTCACGATCATTCGGATTGCCCGGCTTCCGCCTTGGTCAGTGAACCTCTCTGTATACGCCGATGGCATTTGGTCTGGGCTTCAGCAGTGGCACAATCCCATGTACATGCAAGGCTCCAAGAAGCAGCGACAATAACGTCGAAGTACCTCCATGCTCGATGCTTAGTCACTTTCACTCGCCAGCTGATTTTCTCGTATCCCGTTTCAATTGACAATGTAACAACTTCGTATACCAGATGAGACTGATTTTTGGGCATCATTATTGACGGAGTTCTTTCGTGGAGGGCTGAAATTTTGCATTTCAAGAGGAGGCTCAACCATATTGCCCACGTAATGAAATTTTTCGCCGGTAAATCGTTAGGCACATCCGTAACAGCTATGCTTCAGCTCTACAGAGTACTCTTCTTGTAGTATTTAAGCTATAATAGCACACCCATGCTTTCAAATGCCCGGGAACTAACATTCAGGTCCTGCAAAAGATTCAAGCCTAAGTTCTTCGCACATATTTATTGTTGCATAGCTGCGCAAACACGGTTGCCACATTTGCCAATGCCAAATACAATCCAATTACGACATATATATATATAACTGTCGAAACACTCCAGGCGCATATTCGCCATATATTCAGAGTGCCTGACCACCTACTCGCTAGCCTGCCATTAAAAAGACCGCTAGCCGAGTTCTCCAGAGTTGTGGTAGCTAACCAGCATTCCATCTTTTGAACGTTCTTACCCCCAAACGTTCCGCTATACCCGGAGTGGTGCCTGCAAAGCCCTTATGCACCTTGAAGTTCTGCGGATATACTAAAAAGGCTATCCTGTCATCTGCAGCCCTGAAGCAGATCTCATAGTACATTTTGCGTGTATTTTGTGCTAAGAGAACTCATAAGTATACAAATGGTTCGCTCTCCAAATAAAGAGAGAGACAGCAAAAGGATATCAAGAAGGTAGGGAGGGTAACTAGACAAAGTCCAGTTTGCTACCCTAAACGAGGGGAGAGGATAATGAATGATTAAAAGACTGAAAAAAAAAACAAGAGATACACTGCACGTAACACACACACCGCACAAATAGGGCAAGTTTAACACGTGGTCGCACAGTGAAGTTGGCTCGTAGAAGCCCATGTAAAGCCCAGAAAGCCACCCGAGCCCTTCCGCAACATATGAGAGTGACATCGTTGAGTGACCATCTATGAAACCCTGCACGGCGTGTGTGGTGTTTTTGTGGTGTGCAATGTCTATCTCTTCCTCTCTCTTCTCTTTTACTGCCTTATACTCTTCTCCAAACGTGTAGAGTAGAAAAATGAACGTAGTCTGGTCCAACCCTCCCATCTTTCTTTTGTTCTTACTCTCTG